AAGAGAGGGGGAGAGTGGGAGTGAGAGAGCGAGAGAAAGAGAAAAAGAGAGGGCGAAGAGGGAGTGAAAATCGCAAAGAAGGTAGAAAAAATGGAAAGCGTATAAACGATAAAGTACTACGTATCTATTGTTCGGAAAATAAGAAAGTTTGATAAAAAAAAGAAAAGAGAGAGAGAGAGAGAGAGAGAGAGAGAGAGAGAGAAAAGGGAGCAGTAAAAAGGAATATCCTCCTGGTTAAAGAATCGAGAGACAAGGGGCGTTGATTGAGCACCGGACAGCGAATGGGTGCATCCTACCTGGTGCAGTGTTTACTTGGACTGTGAGATACCTTGGACTAGGCGGTGTCCTTTGTTGTTCGGTAACATGACAAATTACAGTGACATGTGCTATTCAATTGCATAATAATTCCTGTCGAAACGATCGAGCTGGTTGCCTTTCAATTATTAATGTCTTCTTTGATTCGAAAACTGCGATGTTTTAACAAGTGCGAAGTTCTCGTTACATACGTTTAATTAACGTCTGTCTTGTTCGGATACACTTTCTTTTTTTTTGTTAAATTAATCGACAATTAATAATTAAATATACAAATAGTGCGAAGTTCTCGTTACATACGTTTAACTAACGTCTGTCTTGTTCGAATACATATTTTTTTTTTTTGTTAAATTAATCGACATTTAATAATTAAATATACAAATAGTGCGAGTAATCGAACGATTGATATCGTATTTTTGAATATGATCGAGAATACGATGATATTGTTTAACTTTTTCACTCCTTGTATCCGTGGGTATCTAGATGTATCTTCGTATACCGATGTTTCGTTGCCTGGAACACAAAAGTGTCGATAATTGGAATACAAAAATTCGAGGCAAATGAACGATAACTTAAGAGATAATTATCCTTGAATATGAAGTATATGAAAGTGTAATGCGTGTTATGTAGGTGAAAAGTCGGTATCGGTTCAGTAACCTTCTCGGCGACGCCACCCCTATTATTATCCATGACACGTTCACGCAACATTTTGTTCCGCTTCATTGACCTTGCTAATGTCCATGCACCATCGTGCAACATCGTGTAATTATTTTTTTTCACGATTGTCGAAATAATAAGACGGTAGATAGGATAGAACAATCGTAGCGTATAACAATTTTGGATCGAAACGAGTTTTATTAAAGAATAGGATATATATATTATTCGCGTCGTCATTATTGTGACAAAACGTGTTTTTATAATTCGACAATTCGTGCAAAATAATAAGTTGAGAAGGATCGACCTGTTTTATTGGCAATTATGTAATTGAATTACAACGCATTGCACGATTCCATTTTATATTAAATTATCGAGGAATTTTTTTTCTTTTTTTTTTTATCGAAGAATTATTTTCCCTCGAAATAATTTACACGATCGATAAAATGTGATTAAACGTGATTATTTCAATGATTATACTTGAGAGTGATCGATGCCTCGTTGGAAATTTTCTTTTTTTATAATTCGATTGATTATTGGGGGCCGTTTAAAAGATATAATATCGTATCATCGTGAGAAAAAATTCGAGGCAGGTCGAAGCAGTTTCTAAATATTATATAATTGTTATATTTTCAGCGATCATGTCAGGGACAAGCTGATGAACTTTCGAACACCTGCAATGATGTGACAATAAAGATATCTTCTCCTACGTCCTTTCTCATATCTCGGGGTATTGTCCCTGTTATACAGTGCTTCCCAGAATAGAACGAGAGAATGAAATAAAAAAATAATAATCATCGGTTTAATAGTAATCGGTGGTAAAAAGAAAAAAAAAAACAAAAAATAAAAAAAAAGAAAATACAAAAAAAGGAAAAAAACGGTGCCAAACGTCGATAGACAAGCCAATCAAAAAAAGCATCTCTTGATATTTCGATAAACATCGACTAAATTAAAAGGCAAAGCAAAAAAAAAAAAAAAAAAAAAAGGAAAAGAAGAAAAAGAAAAACAGAAAAAGAAAGACCGTTGATTGAAAGAAAAAAAAAAAAAAAAAAAGAAAAACGCACAGAACAGAACGATTAACCATTAAACGTTGTTACATTTCAACGAAGAAGAGACAAAAACGGAAAGCACAAAAATAAAAGAGGGAGAGAGAGAGAGAGAGAGATAAAAAGAAATAGGGACATTCGTTGAAAAAAGAAGAAGGTGAATCGGTTGAATCGAAAGGTGGCGCGAAGAAAGAAAGGAAGAAGGATCACACAAGGTGGTATAAGAGAATAACGAGAATAGAATGGGCAATAAGTTGTCTTGCAGTTGTGCTCCTCTTATCAGAAAGGCTTATCGTTACGAGGATTCACCATGGCAGGCTGGCGCGAGGGGCGGAATGGGCGGCAGCGGAGCACGAAGGGGTGACACTGGCCACTTGCTCAGGTGCGGAAGCTTAAGAGAAAGGAAGAGGTGCGCATACCATACCATTCAACCATTCAACCACTCCATTCGACTCCATTATCAATCTTTACTTTTTTGGGAAGGCTATTTACTTCTCTCGTGTAACACATATTAACCCCCCCACCTCCTTCACGATACGCTGGAACACGTGCATTATATACACACACATACCTATACACACACGTATACATACACGTATCTTATACATGCACTACAATTTTTATCTTCTCAGGTAGAACATGTTCGCTCCAACTGTTTTCTTTCTCACTCATAATAATAATAATAATAATAATAATAATAATAATAATTAAAAAGATCGAATTTCACTTTCACAAAGTGTTCTCTGTTTCAATAACGCGTGTGGATACTTTTTTCTCCTCGTTCAATGTCTCGAAAAAAGTATCCACAAAGCTGAAGATGTTTGGCTACACGTTTCCATTTTATTTTGATATTTAACACGCTCCAAGGATATTCCATTATTAATAACGTTGGTCAAATACGCATTTAATTAAATTGTTCTACCTGAGTTCTTTCTTTCACTTCTCTCTTCTTTACTCTCTTCCTCTTTCTTTTAAATTCTCTATTTTATTTGTTTTTCTGCTGTTTTTCTCTGTCTCTCCTAACACGCATATATATGTACCTAAGTATATAAACTCGAATTCTACATTCATCTACGCGTTTGGTCACTTTCTCTTCCTTTCTCTCTATTCTGGATTTATTTTTCTTTTCGATTATATATCTTATTTTTTATCTATCCTTGTTCTTCTCTTCATTTATTTGCCATTATTCGCTCATTATTGTTTCAGCTTGAATTCCATCTTACTTGAAATAGCTGTTTCTACTTTGCTCGAGTCGCAACATACGATTTCTCCCAATGAATCTTTACGGATGTGTTACGATATATGATCAATGAATCAATTAACTTGTCTTCGATCAATTTTTTCCGATCGATCGTATGTTGCGATACGTCTACTATGCAATTTTATTGCGCTTAAAATTAATAAAAAAGCTTGGAAAGAAAGAAAGAAAGAAAGAAAGACACCGATATAATTGTACAATTGTTTTGAAATTATTAAATTATTATATTTATTGCTGTTAAAATCAGCAACAACTCTCCATCCATATTCGTGTCTTTCTTGCGCATGATTTTAACTAATTAATAATATTCCTCGTTGTTACTTATTTTTGCATGCACATTGCAATTTATAAATTCGACATAATTTGTTAATTCTCTCGTTTGTTCCGAAGAAAAGAATCGTGCACAAAACGGATAGAATTAAGGCGTTTAATTTGTTTAATTGTGGGGCTAGTTCCAACCAGGCATGTGTTTTTAAAAACTGATCGAAAAATTCGAATTTGGATATTCTTTAATTTTTAGAAATTAAGATAATTAAAAGTAAACGGAAAGCGAAGATACAAGGAAAAAAAAATGATTACTTTTTAATATGCAAGATATTACGATGAATAAATTTCAAAAAAATTTCAATCGTGTGCTTATTTTGAAAACAAATTATTTACACGCGCTACGAACATTTAAGAAATATAACGTATAGTTATTTGAAGATTCTATAACGATAAGAGATACTTTATATTAAATATTTAACAATTTTCACTCATTGTATTTCTTTCATTGATGGAAACAGAAATGTAAATTTGTGATGTGACGTTAAATAATATAAATATATTGTTATGAAATAAAACTGATCAATAGAATGAAACGAATCCACACATTTGCGTGTCGCAATTTTTCATTCAGAATTACCTGTTGAACACGCGAGGGGGAAATTAGTTGAACGATACCTGATATACGTGAATTATCTCGATTTTCTTTTTTTTTTTTTTATAATTTAAAGATTAGCTCGATGTTTTTATATAAATGTTATGACAAAGAATGAAAGAAAGAAAGAAAGAAAGAGAAACGGAAAATAAGAAGGAAAAGAAGAGAGGAAAGAAGAATAAAAGACAAAAAACACGAAACTTTTTACTTACAACGATATTGTTGTCGGAAAACGATCGAATGATATATTCCCTTTCGTTTCGATTCGATTTTATATCCGTATTTTCCTTTCGAGTAGTCGACCTCTTCGATATCATTTTTTGAAATGCGATTAATCTTGTTATTACAACGTACAATTCAGCAATCAAAATTTCTAGACTGTGGGCCGAAGTGTTCCATGTAAGCGCAAGCGGGGCTGGGACTGTGAAATGGCAGCAGGTTTCCGAGGATTTAGTTCCTGTAAATATCACGTGCATTCAAGATTCGCCAGAATGTATTTTCCATATTACCGCGTACAACAGTCAGGTGGACAAAATTTTGGACGTACGATTGGTACAACCAGGTAAAATGATGATATTTTTTTCTTTTTCTTGTACATACATTGAAAAGGCGAGATAAATATTTTCGAAATTGCTTCCAGGTACACGGATTGGACAAGCGTCAGAATGTTTCGTTTATTGGAAAGACACGATGACCAACGACACATGGGGATTGAATTTTACCTCTCCGATAGACGCTAAACAATTCAGAGAATGTTGCGTAAGTTTATAACGCAATCGATTGATTTCTCATATCATTCGCACGGGATAATAATTTTCTCTTTGCACAATTATTTTCGTGATCGCGAGAGCAGTCAAGATAAGATCGAAATAAACCGCGAGATGTAATTACGACTATCGTATTTTTTCATAATGAAAATAAAAAAAGGGGAGGAGAGAAGAGATGGATTTGGGGATAGGGAATTTGTGAAAACAAAAAAAAAATTGGTTTCACGTATACATTGTCGAGTCATTTACAGTCATTAGTTAATTTTTCGTACAGTCACCGTCGTTCAAGATTTCAAGGAAAGCGTCCTCTTCTTACTCGTTGAAGCTCGAACCGCCTAACAAACAAAAGATCAAGACACGGAGAAAGCCTTTATCGACACCGGCATCACCGAGCAGATCCAGGGAGCCCCAATGCACTTGCATGACACCGGAACAACTCGCCAGATTTCGAAGCCAAGAAGCCAGATACCGAGGTTTTTGCAGTACGATATTCGTCGATATTCACATTTCACGATATTACGTATCGCGTATCAAATCGATACTCGTGTTTAATATTTAATAATTTTTTCGAACAGCTACCTCTACGCTTCCACGAACGATGGCGCGATCGACCGAGGTGGAGATGACGCCGGGTCGCGATAAAATAACAGCGGCAACGTCCAGTGCCTCCCTCTACGACAACGTTAACAACGCGAACGTGACGCCGGGAAAAACGGCGAAAGCAGGGGAATCGAAGCAAAAGGAGAAACAGAACGAGACATGTCAGACAACGCCAAAGACGGCGAACGTAGGCATCGAAACTGTCACCGTTGGTTCGCAAGTAAGTAGTTTAATTCCAGAATCCATCGCTAGTTTCGCTCGATTTTATTTTTCGATCGGTATTTTTCATTCTGTTCGATTCGACGCTATTAACGAACATACCGACCGAGCAAAGAGAAATAAGAGGAATGAAATATTACAGATCGATAGCCCGGAAGAAAAAGGCGCTGCGATATCACCGAAAAAAGGTCAAAAGCAAAGTCAAGACTCGTCTACTCAACAAAATGGTAGCGAGATGCTCAAATCAGAAGGTACACAAGCAGGTGGCACGTTACAAAATAAGTCGTTGCGAAAAGAGCAATTACATCATACGAAGTCTGCCGATTACACAGACTTGGAGATGCAAAACGGCAATATTTTCAACATAGTGAATAATAATCACAGTGGGAAGAAATCGAAAAGCAAGAGTACGGACGATATGAGAATCGAGAATGCGCAAAACGGTGGGATTAGTTTAGATTCGAACACGTTGAAACGTATGCTGAAACCCATGCCGAGTATCGATAGCCCGGTCACGTCCCCAGAGATGACGAGAAAAAGGCATAGCCATCATAATTATCATTATCATCCGAGCAATAATAATCAGAAGTACATCATGCAAGAGACTGAAAACGAAAATTGCGCCCATCTGTATCGACCAACGTATAATAACAAGTTCCAGACGACTAGAAGCGTGCATGACATGGGACGTCAATACGCCGGTACATACATTGCGTTTTTTTTCGATTCTTCTTCTTCTTCTTCTTCTTTTCTCGAATCGTTTTATTCGATCGTGTTCCATTCTTTTCTCTCAAACACTTTCATAACATAACGAGAAATTCTTTTTTATACGTACACGTATCATATACGTATGTACATATATACTATAATGTAAAGATTAGATAATTTCGATGTTTTTAATTTTTTTTGCCTTACGCAAAAAAGTTTTCTTCCAAAGTGCACCCTATAATTAATTTATTCGACGTTTGCACGTGATTCAACTATTATTGATATAAGAAAAAAAAAATTTATGTATATTTGCGTTTACACCTCTTGCCTTATAACATCGAATCACATCGTGTCATAATTCAAATTTTTATTACTTTCAACTCTTCTTCACCTTCGATTCTCGGAATTTTGAGGATTTATTAATTAATCGTTTATTAAATTTTTTCGATATTTTGCAATAATCTATTCGTTTCGATCGAGAAATCAAAATTTAAGCGTGATTATTTTTTTAACACGAGCATCAAAATACAATCAAAATACATAATAGGGAGAAAAGAAACTTCCTTCGTACATAAAGAATTCCTGTTTTCGAAAAACAATATATTATTTACAAAAGTATCCACAAACATCTTCTCTTAGGAAAAAAAAGAACGTTATCATTCATTTTCACACACGTACATTGCGTCGTGCATACGAATCGTAAACCCGCATACCTTTATCGAGCTATAAATTTTAATTCGGATAATCGAAACCAACGAAAAAATTTACACACTCTCTCTCTCTCTCTCTCTCTCTCTCTCTCTCTCTCTCTCTCTCTCTCTCTCTCTCTCTCTCTCTGCCCGAAACCACCACGATTGTGCGCGAGCAACAACCAACGATTCCTTCGTATTGGCTTCGCGTTGTTTTGAGCGTAAAAAAAAAAAAAGAAAAAAAATATTCTATAAATAAATAAAGGGGTGCGTTAACAGGGATGCATGGCGCATGTCAATTTGTATACTCGTCGAACGGAACGTGAACGAAAGTAACGATTCTTTACGACAGCTGAATACAATATTCATCCACACGAATCCCTGCATGAAGCACCTGTTTGTCGTAGGCGGGAGAGCCAGGACCTATTTAGATTCGGAACGTAATCGATGCACAGGTGATATGTCGCCGCCATCGGATAATGTCATCTTCGATAATCAGTGTTACGCGACCACGCCGAGTTCCTCCAATGGAAACTCGGATATGGAGCAACCGACGCACTGCAATTCCCGTCGTTGCAACGGTAGCCAGGCTTATCAACAGCAGAACATGCAATCGGTATCGACCCCCGGAAGCCCTACCAGCAGGCTATTGCTCGAGTACGAGATGCATCTGAGGAACACACTTGCCAAGGGTATGGACGCTGAGAGTTACAGTTTACGCACTTTCGAGGCGTTGCTCACTCAAAGCATGGAGGATTTAGGTGAGTCCAATTTTTCCAAAGCCAAATTTTCCCCTCCTTTCTCACTTTTCTCTTCTCTTCCTGATTCGCGAAAATCAATTTCGAAATTCGATTTGTTTCAGAATTCGCGAAAAATATACCGTTGAACACTCAACGTACGCCTCACGTTTCACGAAGACGTAAGTTTCCTTATCTCTTATTCGTAACGCTCGTCCCATTTCCCAAATGTGTTTGCACGTGTTCGCGCGCGCTGCGAATCGAATCTACGAACGAGCGTTTCAACTTGATCCCTATTGGTCGTTCGTCGCTATAGAAACGGATAGTGCGGATTTCGATTCCTTCCCAATTCGTTTCTTTTTCTCCGTACGTACGTGTACGTGAAGTCTCGTTGCTCTTCACTTTCCAGGTTCAAGTTCCAATAAATCGTCGACGTTACCGTTGTCGTATCGTTACGAAAGGCAGAATAGCAAGGACAGGGACGGTTATTACAGCGATCGTAACGAAATGATCAGGGAGAAGAGGGACAGGGAAATCGATCGGGATCGCGGATACCTCAGCGATTATAATTCGAGGCAAGTTGATACATTCGAAATATTTCTTCCCAAAGATATCTCTTCTCATTGTATCTCGAATAATTCGGGGAGCGAGGGAAGGGCAAACTATATTCAATTATCGTCGAATGACCTTAGATATATATATATATATATATATTTTTTTTTGGTTGAAAATTGAAGATGCACCAGCTGCGTAGGGGAGTCCGCACGCGCGCAATGGTTTCGACATTCGGACGGATGGCAATCCGGCAGTTCGACCCTCGGCTCCGGCGCCTCAAGCTCGATAAATCCGAGCTACACGGGCCACAAACGGGACTCCCCCTGGGACTCTTTGCCATCGTTGAGACACGAGGGCAGCCTTAACGACAGCGGATACAAATCGAATCGGACCGATTCTTTGGAGCAAAGGTGAACATAACAATATAATTAAATAATAATAATTTTTTTTGGACGAAATCTCGTGAACGAATCGTAGAAAAAAAAAAGAGAAAAAGAGGGGTTAGCATTATTATTATTATTATTATTATTATTATTATTATTATTATTATTATTATTATTATTGCTGTTATTATTATTATATACGTTAGCAAGTAACGTATCTTCGAGATGTAACACTTTGTGTGTGTGTGTGTGTGTGTGTGCGCGCGCGCGCGTGTGTGTGCTTTTTTTTTTCTCACTTTCCAGAGGCACTTTCGATAGACAGGACAGCGTGAGATCGGATTATATGTCCGATCGGGATGGCAGATACGGAATTGTTCAACAAGCTTCCCTGGAGAGCACAGACTCGAGAATTTGCTACTTGACGTCCTCAGAGGTGAGTAGTTGTTGACCTTATCAACCCGATATATCAATATCCCACTTCAGCAATTTCTCTATTGCCTTCGGTTAACCGAACATTTTACAAGATGGAAATAATAATACCCCTTTTTGGAGTATGGGAGCGATAAGAATTTTTACACATTGTCGTAATCGAAAGGAAGCCGTGTCGAATCCAATGTTTAATCGACGAGACTTGCGTTCGACGCGTTCGAAAATTGCATTACTACGCGATTGGGAAGGGAGAAGGGAGGGAAAATTTCTTTTTCTTTCTTTTTTTTTTGAAAAATTTTTCCCACGCGAAAAATAATTCCCGTTTCGCATCCCGAATTTGACCTATAGACGCGGGGATAAATAATAACGTTTTATTTATAATTCAGCCGTAAAGTAAATGTCATACAGGTATGAATATATATATATATATATATATATATATATGTATGTGGAGCTATATTATACTATATATTTTTTATATATAGCGACCAATGGAGAAAGGATCATGCATGTTAATGAATATAAAGAGTCGCGCGGGCATCGATATATAGCGGAAAAAAAAGTCACGTATCTATCCGTTGAACGTCGATAACCTACTGACCCTGTCTACTCTACACATGTCTTGCACGAGTCACCTTTCAGCCTATTTCTATATGCACATACTCGTACTTGAACGTACTTGCTGCTACGCGATGCTTATATCCTTCTTTTTTCCGTTCATTTTTTTTTTTTTTTTTTTT